ACCGCTGATAAGGCTTTAATAGCTGCCTAGCTGTCAATTAAAATGTAGACTTCTCCATGTTTAAAACAAGAGCACACGCCCTAAGGATGGTGAAAATATCTGCCTGAAATATTCAAGTGGAATCTGAAAGATGGTATGATTTACTAATCATAAGGTCCGTAGAAAAGATTTCAGCTCCAATGCCTTTATCCATCTCTATACCTGTTGGTATAGATCGCTATCATTTTTAGCATTGTAAGCAATATTGCCTCCCTATCCCCTCTTGAAGCAATTCTGGCGCCAAAGTTACTATGTAAACTATGTATATATATTTGACAAAGAGACTCAAAAGAATACAATAATTTGTTTATAATATATATTAATAGATCTTTAGTGCTTCAGAAATATACATAAAAAATACATAAAAAATTATTAAAAAAAACAATAGAATATATTGTTGTAATCTAAGTCTACTTTAGCTTTTATTACTGGCAAAGTTCATAGCTCTTATTATCTGGTTTTACAATATTAATAAACAATATTTATTTGTTTTATTTGTTTATTAACAAACTAATATGTTTGTTTTTTGAAGCCATTTTACATACTTTTTGAAGTTAAAACAATTTTTTAGTTTAAATAATTATTTATTTATGCAAATATTTTGAAACTTTTTGACTACTGCATTAAGGAAAAGGAGATTGAATACTATCTACTACTTTGAAACGTTAGAAATTTCTATACAGAAACGAACCATATAATTAAAAATCTGTTTTTATGTCAAAAGCACTACAAAAAAAGTTTAATTAAAAAAATTACTCGTATTATTATTAAAATGTGGATTCAGTACAATTAAGTTATACATATTTCTTAACAATTATTACGATAAAGAAATTATAACGCATTAAATAAAATTTATATTTTGAAACAATTTATGAATCACATTCAGAAATTTTGAAATAATTTGATAATAAAAAATAATTTATGAGATAATTAATCAAAAAGAATTATAGTCAATCGCAGTGAAAGAACGCTACCATAACACATTGATCATTACATTATAAGTGCTATATAGAGTTCACACCAGTTTTATTACTTGCTCGTGAGATGGCGCTACGAGGTTAAAACAATTTCGACTGCAATGTTTCTAGAATGAATTTCATTTTACTTGGAATAACTTCCTTAATAAATGAACAATAGCTATAAAAAATAAAGTAGATTTTGCTTTTGACAGTAAGTAGAGTGTATTGCACATAAGCTTGGGACTACATATTGCATGCGAAGGTGAATAACATATTTTTATATTTTTGTTATGATATTGACTAGGTCGGAGGATCTTAAATTCACATTATATAGCAGATATAATTTATCTTGATTTCTTAAATATAAAAATATAGTTTCTTTAAATTTGCGCCAGTTTATATCTTATTGCTATGAACTGTTCCGCGGATGTTATATACTTTATAATTGTATTTAGGATATTGACTAGGTCGGAGGATCTTATATTCACATTATATAGCAGATATAATTTATCTTGATTTCTTAAATATAAAAATATAGTTTCTTTAAATTTGCGCCAGTTTATATCTCATTGCTATGAACTGTTCCGCGGATGTTATAAACAAGGTTGATTGATGATAAAGGAAAACTATATGAAGTTAATAAAACCACTAATCGAATTTAAACCAAACATCTGCTAACTGAAGAGATTACATGGATTAATGCAATCAAAGATGTGCATTTTTAAAGCCATAAGTATATGTTACGCTTGATGGAGTTAGGTTCGTAGTTCATGGTATACGACAAGACTATATTATAGATAAGACTTAGAAAAGGTTGGGAACTATGTAACGATGTCACTGCAGCGTTTAAGGATTATTGTGACAAACCCACTTATTTCCATAAGCGGAAAGCATTTAAAAATGTCATTATGTCCCTTTAAGAAATATTGCTTATTTCCGTTATGAGTGGATACGTGACATAGAATGTATTCTGCTGTTTTCTCTTAATCGTGACAAGGTCTGCAGCTATCGTCACTTGTAATACCATCGCAATGTTCAGTGAGAGACCCTGTGACAAGTCGGATGTCTTTTCTGATCAGCATTAGTAGGTAATTAGTTCTAGCTTTTGATCAATTTGGCACATGAATTCTTTTATGATATACATATATGTAAGTCAAACCACTGTAGTATGTGTAATGCAAATGAAATTGCGAATAGGGAACATTTTTCGGGTATTGCCAAAATTATACTGGAAGTGTAATATTTGCGAAATAAATTAAATATATTGGTATTTTATTCTAACTAATTCTAAACTGCGGTTCAATTCTTCATGACGTCACACATTTGTTTTCATTATGAACACACTTACTTGCGATCTATTGGCTTTTGGTTCCGACCCATTGAAATGACCAAGTTCCTTTATCTTGACCCAAGCCTACGTCTTCATCTGTTCCTTATCCCAAAGCTCGTTTCTTCTTCTTACTCTACATTCATCTTGATTTACATAGGTGTATTGTAATTTCTTTCATATTTACCGCTACATAGATCTTCACGAGTTACAGTAACAATAACATCTGTCTTCAGCAACATTTCAAACACATAATATAAAGTTGTTAATTATGTTAGAATAAGATTTAATAACTATCAAATTTTTAAGATTAGATGCAAAAAAAATTCAAAGAACATAAGTGGGAACGTTTTCGATTTCTTGACATGCCTATTTGATGACGGATGTTTGTAAACAACTTTATTTACTACGTTATATGTAAATATATAATAGCTGTTTAGAAAATTTGAGATATCTGACTAAAAGTTCGAAAGATTTTACAAGCAAACCACCAACATTAAACAGATATGCCATCTGGCTATAATTGCGTTCCTAATAATCTTAATGTTTTGATAATATATTCAAATGTTAGTTAAAAAAAGAAATGATCGTTTATCTATATGACGATGTATTTTATGAGTTAAAAGTAGTTACGAGGATGGTTTTTGGATATTAACTACAATTTTGATATTTTTAATAGCTGTATTCAGAAGACGGATCAAAATTTTTATATATCTCGAACTAAATGAAAGCTCCGTATAATTCTTGAATTATTCTTTCATTTCTGGTTTTTATTCGAATTTCATTCAATCTGATTTTGTTTCTTTTAAGTGTTATTTCTAATCTTTGACGGAGTATATTTCCTATAGATTAGAAAAACTGGAGAATGTTTTATATTATATATATAGTATAATTAAACTTTTATTGAAAATTAATAATAATTTACTTAAAGACAATACACTATGAAAATAAAATGTGTGTTCAGCTTCAACTTTTTCGCTCCACTTCTTCATTCTTTCTTTGACAGTTCTTTTGTTTGACACCGCCGTCAGAACAAAAGTGTTGAGGGTTGCATTTTATATCACGAACTCCTACATATATACAATAAAGAAATCGATCTTCAAATATTATATAGTAATTTATAATCTGATTTTGTATTAATGACATGATTACATTCCATTCCACTAGCATGATTTCATTCGCTCAAACATATGTTATACCACTAAAACATATGTGATATGTCGTTACAAAACACTTCTCGATTTTTTATTTTTTAGTGTATACTTGAATTCCGAGAAAGAGGGTGGTTGGTTCCATTATCTATCTGTACTTTTCATAATTTTAACAAAAACAAAATGGTAAATGCAAAATGGTCTTTCTGATTCGAGTATCATTAGCGTAATTGAAATGCCAATAAAATTGACGTAAAATATATAATGGCATACAATCACACTCATATAGATCGAAAATAATAATGCTGGAATGTAAAGCAGGTGCTAATTGTGATTAAAAATTAAATATCCAATTTTGTAGTAAAGTAATATGCTAATATGAGTTAATTTTCTTTGTCTTTATATGAATGCGATACGAATACGATACGAATGTCTGTTATTGAAATATTTCAGACTCATCACATATTTTTTAAGCAATTTAATTTTTTTTAAGCATTTATTAAAATTACTATTATACGATTTTTGCGCTTCATTTTTTTACAACCTCTCCAAAAATGTTAAAACTTAATTCACGAGCAGATAATAGATTTAAAATTATTTTTAGTAGATACTTATTCATTTTGTTAGGTTAATTGTTAAATTTTTGCATACAACGTCTGATAGATAGAACGCGTGCTAGTGGTCTGTGAAGCGTTAAGTGGGTGGTTAAAAATGTGGCTATATAACATTAATGACGTATGTGCACAAATCTACACATATATGAAATAACTACAGCCTAAAATAAAAAAACCTTTGCGAATGCAATAATAAATTATATTATTTGCTATAGTCAGTTTAGATGGCATTTGATAAAATAAAAAATATTTATATCTAAATACATATATAGTGTCGAATAAAAACTCTTAACATAATAACAAGAAGATGAAGAGCGGAAGATAAGAAGATAATAGAGCTAAACTAATATGTTATTATAATAACAAGATATATAGCTGATATGAAATATAATAATAATATATGTTATAAAGTACTTTAACATACATTTTTAAAGAATGTTTTGTAAAAATTTAGAAATATTGGAAAAATCGTCATACCTATTATAGACATTTTTATTATTATTTCGAAATATATTAAAAACTGTATAATATATTACCTCTTGATATTTATTAAACAAAAAATCATTTAGAAAAATATCTGAGGAAAAAGTATCTTAACATTTTAACCAATCAGTATTCAAATATTATGAGAAACCAAATGTACATTACGTGCATATATAGCGCCTTATAACAATCGTTTATAATTGATTCTAGAAGTAATGTTAATAATCATTTTGTTCTCAGCCCATTTTTGTATTTTTTTTTAAATAATTTTTAATTTTTTTTTCGCAATTTTATTGACAAAGTTCGCACGTTCAGAAAAATAATCAGCTACGATTTTTAGTAGAAAGAAGGAATTCAATCGAAACAGTTTGAAAAATACGTTCATATAATCATTAAAATATAATAATAATATAGTATATATAAAAAAATATTAATTATAAACTAACATTAGGCAAAAAACAGTAAAAAAAAAAACTATAGTCAGTCGGTAACTATGAAGTTTAATCGGAAAAAGCTATTAGCCATATCATGTGCTATGCTATTGTTTGCCATAATTTTCGGATGGTTGGCATTTCCAAAAATTATGAAGACTATGATTTCAAAGGTAGTTTCTGGAAACCAATTAAAAATAGTTAATTTATTAAAAGTGACACGATAAGTGAAAATAACAAAAAAAAACTTTTTTTATATTTAATATAATTGAAATGGAAATAAATCAATTTTATATATAAATATATATTTAAAAGCTTGCTATAAGTAAATCAACTAAAACAAGAAGATACTTCAAACGAAATATATCAATTAATTCATATAAGTTTTTTTTTATAACTTAAAAATGTGATTAGTGGCAAAAACGATAAATTTTTAATAGGTTAAGCGCCTTCATTCAAAATGAAAAAAAAAAAATATATTAAGCATTTAATATAATCTTATATACATATTAAACATATGTATAGCATTTAATAGTAGCATTCATGTAGTTACTTGAAAATGTAATTAGTGACAAATACAGTAAATTTTTAATAAGTTTGGAGTCTTAATTCAAGTTGGAAAAATGATTTAATCATTTAATAACATATTATATACATATGTATTTACAAGAGGAAGCAATAAGAGATATTGATAACAGAGAGACAAAATATATAATATTTTTAATTTAATTTTAATAAATTTAGTGTCTTAATTTAAACTGCAGAAAAATAATTTATAATTATCTCAAACATTTAATACCATATATATCTGGTTCTCGTCTATGGAACTAAAGTGGGTATGTCACAATAATCCTTAAAGGATGCAGTGACGTGATGACAAGTTTCCAACCCGTTTTTAAATCTAATCTAATCTAATACAATATAATGTATTGTGTTACTTTTAAGTATAGTGTACAGCACATAATCTGTTTAGTAACAACACTGCTCATATCCAAAACGACTTTATGACCATAAATGTGATACACATTTCATAAAAGGTTTTGAATTTACATTTAAGACATAATTTGCTTCATCTATCTGTTCGTAACTTAAGTTTTGACTAGTTAACTCAAGAAGTGAAATACTAGTTTACCGTATTCAAAACACGGTATAGTGTCAACATAAAGTGTAGTGTCCCTCCGAAGTGTAGTGTCGACATAAAGTGAGGGAGTACAGAAACACGTTTCAATGTAGAAGAAGAGGACTTTTAGTCCTTGTACTACGAGCACATTAGGTCGAACAAACTATACCGAAGACAGTCATCGTCTGTATGTTTTGTCGGAAATTCGAATATTCTTGTTTTTTTTTTGACGTCATACTATTCATACAGTTGCTTCAAGTCACCTATAATGATGCTTTTCATGATTGCTTAGTTGATACAATATGGAAATAACACCGACTTTATAAATTTATACAGTATTAAGTAATTAGTAAAAATTCATTATGGGAAAAACGATGGGAAAAAAATTGATATGGAAGCCGTCAACAATGCTACAAATGACAAAAGCAAACTTTTTAGGTTCAATTGTACAGGTTTAAATTTCAATAAAATTTATTTAATATTTAAGTTAAATATTACTTAATTAAAATCAATTAAGCTCTGTAAAGTAGGTTCTGTACTATTATTTATCGAAGCAACAGGGATTGGAGACATATTCTAAGCTCAAAAGGGGGCACAGTAGACCTGACGGTCGTAGTGTCATATCCGATATCAATAATAAATAAGTTAAATATTTGTTATCTAATATCTATGCTCAAACAAAAATTAGTAAAAAACTATCAAATTATTTTAAAATAATGTAATTCATATTATAAAAATTAACAACATATTTATATTATTTAAAGCAAGTAACATTAAAGCCGGGCACCGATGTACGTGAGCTATGGTCGAACACTCCATTTCCTTTACATTTTTATATATATGTTTTTAATATAACTAATCCAGATGAAGTAATCAATGGCGGTAAGCCAAAATTACAAGAAATCGGTCCATTTGTTTTTGAGTAAGTCCACTTATTTTAATAATATCTAAATATTATTATATTTCATTTATTTTTATTAAATGTTTCTGGGAAATTTTTTTAATGTAACATTTTTCTTTTGTTATTTCTTTTTTAAAATAAAAGTGAGTGGAAAGATAAATACGATTTAATTGATGATGATATAGAAGATTCGATATCATACAATATGCGTAATACATTTTATTTTAACCAGGAAGCTTCAAAAACCCTAACAGGAGAAGAGATAGTTACAATACCTCATCCACTACTACAAGTAAGTGTATACAAAAGATATAATTATATATAAAAGAGAGAGATTTTAGAGAAATCAAATTTCAGTTTAATTTAATTTTAAAATTAAACTAAATTAAATTTTTAAATTCAATTTAATCCAAGTTCATTAAATTTAATTAAATTTTATTATAAAATTGCTTAATAGTTTTATTTGTAAACATTAATCACATGGTAGTCCCCAAATAGGGAATGATAAATATCAAGAACTAAAAATTAAAAATTGTTAAATTTTTTCTTTATTTTTATGGCTGGATTTGGTATAACGCATAATATTTCGACCTTTAATGAAAATATTATAAGCCATTCATAAGCTAGTAGTTTTGACTTTTAGAATCAAATATCTGATATTCACCACCTTCCTTTAGATTTCAATACTAATTAAAATGTGTTGAAATAATATGTCCCTAGAAAGTATTTGAATTTTGTTTTGAATAATTCGTACAGAAACCTATAAATATCTAAAGCTAACTGACATCTCAATGTATGTAAATTTATCTCAGCTATGTCTGTATAAAGCATTTGGTATCTTCATTTCAGTTATTAATTCGAAGGATAAAGGTCAAGTAGTTCATAGTGAGCTCAAAAGGAAATATTAGAAATATAAATATAAGTTTATAGAAATAGAAACTTCAATTGGAACACTTTTTGATTTGAGTCACATTTGAGTCATTTTCTTAAAATATTTAATCAAAAATTTGCAAAAAACTTAATAAAAAACTATTTTTATTTCTCAAAGTCCATTGCAATCGTTGTACAAAGAGAACGCACTGCTATGCTGGATTTAGTTGCAAAATCGATAGACATTGTTTTTCCAGGAGAAAAAGCATTAAAAACTGGAAAATTTATGGATTTATTTTTTCGTGGATTTCATATTGATTGCTCTTCAGAAGAGTTTGCATCAAAAGCACTTTGCACTGCATTTTATACTGGCGAAATAAAGCAGGCGAAACAAGTAAATGAAACTCATTTCCTTTTCTCATTTTTCGGTGGGGTAAGTCAAATATTGGTCAACCAACTAAGACGTTTCTTCAAATAATAATATTATCAAATAAATAATTTTATTATCAGTCAAATCATAGTGATTGGGGTCGGTTTACGGTTTGTCGTGGTGTTAAAAATATAAGCAAACTGGGCAAAGTAATACGTTTTGGAGATGAAGAAGAAATGGATACCTGGTCCGGAGATAAATGTAATCAGTTTATCGGTACTGATTCTACTATATTTGCTCCATTACAGAAGAAGGAAACTGGTTTGTGGGCTTTTACACCAGACCTATGTCGATCACTTGGAGCAACATTTAAATCTAAGACCTCATATCACGGTTTACCCGCACTAAAATATACACTGGATTTAGGTGATATTAGAGTAAGCGATAAAGAGTAAAAAATAATCATATATTCATATATCATTAAAAAATTATATAAATATATAAATACAATTTAAAAAATTAATGAATTTATTAGAAATTAATTCATTTATTTCTGTAAAAATAAAATTAAAAATATTTGTTAACTACAAATATTTTTAATTTTATTTAAAAATTTAACTACATACATTGTATTTTCTATTTTATTTAATATTTATGAAAATTGAGTTATCAATATTTTTATTGCCTTTTACTTTTAAGGCAAATGAGGACCTGCATTGCTTATGTGACGATCCTGATGATATAGAAACTTGTCCTTTAAAGGGAACTATGAATTTACAGGCTTGTGTTGGTGGTCCGCTAATAGCTTCAATGCCACATTTTTATAATGGTGATCCAACTTTATTAGAAGCCGTAGATGGTCTTCATCCAAATGAAAAGGATCATGCTGTGTTCATAGATTTCGAGTTGGTAAGTTTGGTTCAATTTCATTTCAAACTAATATAACTAACATAAACCATTTGATCAAAAAAGAACGAGAAGTTAAAAAAACACCCAAAACTTTAATTTTTAATAATTTTCTTTATTATTGCCTTCAAAGTAATCTCCTCCTGCGGCAATACAACGTTTGATCCAATTTTGCATACAAATTTTATACGCCGCGGAAGGTATGGTCTTTAGTTCACGCAGCGAATTTTTTTTATGGCCTCTATGGTCTCAAAACTCGTTCCACGCAATGGCAATTTGAGTCGGGGGAAGAGGGGAAATTCACATGGGGCCATATCTGGAGAGTACGTTGTTGGTTGATGGTATAGGTGGAGTTTTTGGCCAATAACTGCGATACAACCAATGCTGTGTGAGCCGGTGCGTTATCGTGGTGTAAAATCCATCAGTTTTCCTTCCATAAATCTGGCCTCTTTTTACGAATGGCCTCACTCAAACAACGCATAACGGCAAAATAATACTCCTTATTGATCGTTTGACCGTCCGGAAGGAATTCATAGTGCACCACACCACGAATATCGAAGAAAACAGTCAGCATAACCTTGATTTTCGACCGAGTTTGGCGTTCTCTTTTCGGTTTCGGCTCACCTTCGAAGCACCATTCGGTCGATTGTTGTTTGGTGGACATGTCAAATTCAGAAACCCATGTCTCATTACCAGTTATGATGCGTTCGATGAATGTGGGGTCACTATCTGCGTTGGAAATCATCTCTTTGGCCACATCACAACGACGCTTTTTTTGAATGAAATTCAGCTAAAAATCCCCACACGAAAATTTTTCGACTTCTTTGTATAGACGCCAAACAAAAACTAATCCTACGATATGCGTTAAACTTTGACAGAATGTGTATAATAGTGTTGCCAGCGTGAAAATAAAAAAAATACTGATTGGATAAGAGCGGGAATTCAAAAAAGGAACGAATAAGTTCTTTTTTGATCACAAGGTATATGTAAGACATGAATCATCACTATACATCACTATACTATTTCCACTATTATTACTACCAAATAATTATTATTAATTTATTTATTTTAAGATGTCCGGCACACCGTTTGTTGGTGTTAAACGGCTACAATTTAATTTGGACGTAGAACCAGTCGAAAAAATTGCCCCAATGAGAAATATGCGAAAATTAGTCATGCCAATATTTTGGGTAGAAGAAGGAGTAGCTCTAAACAAGACATATACCAATATGCTGAAATACACATTATTTCTGTAAGTAATAAGACAAACTTTGACTATCATTTATGAGTGTATATTTAATCATATATTTATAGTGGTCTTAAGTTTAATTCTGGCTTACGTTGGACTCTAATAACATTATCGCTCATCGGTTTAATGTGCTCAGTATATTTGTTTTATAAAAAATCAGATAGTATTGATATTACGTTACCTGATCAAGTGATAAATGAGACAAATAAAGTGGGAATTATAAAGGAAATAAAACCGCCAATATTACAGCCAGAATTATCTCAACAAGGAGTTGATAAATATTAAAGCTAGCAATACGACGAAATCTACTAGTTTTATAAATTTAAGTAATAATTCTTAGAATGTACTTGCTTCTGCAAAAGTTTTTCAAATTTTGCATTAATCACAAATTTAGTGAAATTCAATGATTGCAAATTGGAAATTGCTTTTTTACAAAAATTAAGCACTGATAAAAAAATTCTTTACCACTAAAAACCAAAATGTTGTAATATTTATCAATGTAGTATATAATAATGAAAAATTTTTAATAAAAATTTTTAATTAGACATTACATGAGCATTTTATTTTTTTTCTATACAATATATTATAATTTCACATAATTTTTTTTATTTAATATTCTAATATCTCTAGCAAAAATAAAGTAGTGAAAAAACACATAAGCCGCCAATTATACTCAGTTTACAAAACACTTGAATATTAATTTGCTTACGAGTACATACGTTCATTTAATTCTATGTTAATTTAGGTTTTAGGCACAAGCATTTATTCCAATCGAAATATATTAGTCTTCTTGTTATTTAAAAATTTATAAATATAAACTGCGAGACTAACCTTTCAGATGTCTAAGATAAAGAAACGGTTAGATAGGTCATCAAAAATCTGAAAACACACCATTTAAAACTATAAGCGATATAAGGACCGTCCACAGGGAGGTCACCCAGGACCGTACGAACTAAAAATACCCGAACCAAAATAAGATATATCTACGAAATAGAAAACGTAACAGGAAACCCGAATCGAAATAAGATATATATTACGAAATAGAAGAAAAACAAATAATAAAAAAATAATAAAAAAATAATAAAAAAATAATGAAAAAGAGGAATAAAAAAAGAGAAAGTATAAGAAACAAAAAACGAAAAAAGTTAAAGAGAAGAAAAAGAAACAAAAGAAAATAATAAAAAAAAACAAAGAAGAAGAAGAAAAAGGAAAACAAGAAGAAGAAAAAGAAAAATGAAAGGAAAACAAGAAGAAAACTGAAAGGAAAATAAGCAGAAGAAGAAGAAAAATGAGAGGAAAACAAGTAAAAAAAATGAAAAATGAAAGGAAAACGAAAAGAAGAAAAAGAAAAATAAAAGGAAAAGCGAATGGGACAGAAAAGGAAGGACAACAACTTGCGACAAAGGTAAGAAGAAGAGTAACAAAGCAAAAATTACAAAAAGTTCATAATAATCACTTTCAAAGGTCATGTTATTAAGAGTATCATGGGTTCGTCAAAATTAGCTCTTTTGAACTTTAACGAAAATGCATGCATATGCAGAGTGTCACAGAAATTGTAATAATTTGCTTCTAAAAGACACAAATGTTGACATTTATTTTTATTTCTGAGTGCCAGTGCTTTGCCTAAGTGATGAGGTACAGATAGCCTCAGCTCTCATGATCAAATTTGTTTTTTCTCTTACTCTTAATTTTATATTTTGCATTAAAATCAACTACAATTTTGCTCATAACACTCTTTTCGAATGAGAAGTAAAGTTATTAATATTGAGATGTAGATATTATATTGAAAAATAACAATATCAGCATAGATTGATCCGATCGCAAAATACATAAAGGATAGAGCTCTAAAATTATTTACGAAAACTGATCGGTTTACTAACACCGCGTTATCGAATCTCAAAATGGTTACAGGCTTCTCGGGGAGGTATGCAGATCTGCGGTCAGTTATTGCTTAGTCTTATTGCTTAGTGATAAACAATTATCCAGTCAAGGCGTAGAGAGGGGTTATAATGAAACCTCGCAATTAATAGAGAGTAAAAGTGCTCAAATGCACTGACTCAACTACCCTCAACATAATAATAATCAGCTTAAATACAAGTTAACTTCTTAATAAACGAATTAATTAATTTAGTAAATCATACAGAATTGATGTCAGTTGACATTTAATATACATTTTATTCAGGCTTTTGGTGCTGCAAGGTAGCACTTTGAGTTACTTAAATTACTTATTTTAATGTATTGTATATGTTTGAGTTAAACTGAACACTGACTATAAACAGAAGTCAACAGTTTTATTTTATTATTAATTTGAATTCAATCTTAGCAATTTATATGCAGTTTAACATTTTCAATATCTGAGTTTATTACGTTAGTAAATAATATTGAGAATTTTTTTATTAACTTTTTAATTAACGACAAATATTTAAAAAATTATTTTTAAACAGGAAATAGCAAAATATTAATTAAAACTTTTTTTCCGGAAAATTTTTTAAAAGCCAAAAAATAACTGGAAAGAAATGTGTGTTTTGCAATCTGAAAGACAAAAGCTTCGAGGACGCCATGGATTTCCATTTTTATCAACGGCAGCAGAATGGCACAGTAGCGTTTTTTATTGAGTAAAAAAAAATGTAATTGTCAACAAAACATTGAAGACAATAAAATAAAAATAAAAATAAAATTTCTGTCCATAAAGCCACGTTCGCTTGATAATTGAGGAAATTATTTTCCAATAGCGTTGCCGATATTACAGGCTACTGCTGACTATTAATTTGCTGCTTACGTCTTTCAGTTGCGATTATTTTTCCACAGCTGTGAAGTTTTTATTTGTATCTTAGTATCTCGTATTCTGTATTTTGCATATAAAATATTTGGTTGCGTTGGTATTTTTGCCAATAAATGCATTTGGTTGCCTTTATGGCTCATTGTTATGAGAAAAGTGGTGCAATGACCTTTTTCGCGTGATTTCGTCTTTTTTGGTTATTGGACTGGCTTTCTTAGTCCATTGCAATTGAAAATGCCGATCAAATTGAATGAAAATTCTGCAAAACTAATCACAAGGCAATCAACTCTACTATTTATGTGTGCAAATCGAAGTATTAAAATCGAAATAATTTAAAAGTTTGCAGTTGACAACAGGTTCAGTTTTGTCACTTTTGTGTATAAATTTTGTTGATTGATTTCTGATTGAATAACTTTTGCTTTTTCATTTTTGGATTATTTTCATTTTTTACAATTACAGTAACGCTGAAATAATATTGGCATAACATATTTTTTGCATTTAATTAATATTTAACACAATTACACACATACATATATCTTTTCCACGCGAACATGCTTTATTAATTATATTCGATCGATGCTATTTTTAGTATTTATGTTTATAAAACGGAAAATGAAAATGTTTTCTTTTTTATAAAATTTTTTATCTGAGCCATTAGTCTGTGTGTCAGCTACATCCAAATCATAAAAAATCTAAACGAACCCTACAAACAATACATCTATATATATATTTTCTAGTTTTCCTTTAACCCAATATATTTGATTCAACGATTCTTCAACTATTTCAAACCGTTCAAGTAATTTCATTCATTAGCTTTGATTTTCCGCTATTATCTGGAGGCAAGTTTTAAATTTCCCAAAGTGGTCTTAAGTTTCTGCATATAGTAAATACACACAGTGGCATATTCCTGCTGTATGAGGAAGCAATTCAGATCAAAATTCATGACATTACAGCATACGGTTACAAATGCACTCGTACTGTCTTGAAGGAAAATATTTTTATTCTTGGTGAAATGGGCACATATGTTCTTCAGAAGAGCAACTTTTCAAAAAAAACTATATAGTAATGGCCTCTATATCATTTATTTAAAAATTTGGCTTGTTAAACACTGTTTCAAAAACAAAAAATGATCGCGTCTATGATTCACATAAAGAGAACGTAGCGCCTAACTTGCCTTTAGCCCTCTCTTTTAGGATAATATCTGCAAAATGCTTGTCACTCCGGCATATGATTTACGTATAGTTTTAGTAGATCATGGACGTCAACTATCGATCAGTTGAAATAGCATTAAAGAGTTATATCGCAATAGACTAAATTGGATATGTCAAAAATAAATCGAGCATTGGTCCACCCCGGACTGTTATGCTAAGAAAGAAAAAGAAAACTTCAATTGAGCACTTTCACAAAACGCATCAAAAATGGATTTATACTCACATTTAAAATATTTCACTCAATTGTACACAGTTTCTAGCCCAATACCTTATAGATACGGTATGAATATTCACCAACACGATTTTTTTATATTTTTTAGTAACAATTTTTTATATATGGATAACTGATGACTGAAAAAGATATTTGATTTTCAAACAAATTATTATAGTACCATACATAAAATCAACAAAACCCTTAAAAATATCAGATGTAAAAAAGTAGATTCTGTCGTTCAGTTTATATGGCAGTTATGACCATTAGTTAAAGGATTTAACAATTTCAAATTGAGATCCTTCTTGGAAAAATCGAAGAGTAAAATTTCTTAAAAGAAGAATGAAATAATAAACACAGATAAGCGTATAGATGGATATTGACAAATCAATTTTTTAAATGCTTCTAATTAATTCTAATTAAGAATACCATATGTACTATATTTTGTATATTTTTCAGTGCTTACTACACTTTAAAAGGAGTTGACAAAAAAGGAGTTTGCAAAACAAATGTTGGGTCGAAATCGATACATTTGTGTTCAATGGAATATGGAAGAAAACATATGGAAAAAAGACTTTACTTCTCACTAAAATTGATATGTCTTCAGAACTTGTAAACATCTGTGCTTAATAAACCTAATCAAAACTTTTAACAACGTGATAGCACGTCATAATTATATTATAAAAAATATTGAAATTAAACCATTGTAAACAAATTTAATAGCATTATTTTTTTAAAATCCTGTTAATTATCTGTTTATTATACCAATAACATATGTTTTTCGCCAAGAGATAAGGTGGGTCCCATTTTTTTGGACATCGCGAGTATAAATAAGCAAGAAATGTGACTAACCGATGTTATGCATATTGTTCTGTATATATAAAAACATATATACAAATGCTGAGAAGATAATGTGTTTTATATAAACAAACGAACACAAATTATAGAAATTGCCTCGACTCGTGTCTCTAGAGCTATGTGAAATTTTATATAATTATCAAAAATGCCAGAGCAGAAATGAGCAAATGCAATGAGAGTGCTATCAATTCCGAAACCTTTGGAATATCGATTGTTTATGGTAGACAGTATTCCTTTAATAAAAGGCATTTTCCATTTCAGATGGAGTTAATATGACGATAGTTAATCGATAATTGTATAACATTTGCCATTCACTATTGCTTTATAAACATTGAAAGATATTTTTATATATTAATGGATCGGAAATAATCATGACAGCCATATTTAAAACTT